CCCCCCCCCCTCCTCATGGTCAGATGTTCCCAATCTTCCCCTGCACCGGCCTGATACACTTGGATGCTGTCATGTATAGTCTCTTTAATGTTTCTTTTAAATAAACATGGGAAAGAGATCATCTTAACGTAAATGATCCTATCATTATGTGTTAACGTTTTATTATTTTCTGTATATACTTTGAAATGTACTTGGGGTGAGTCATATGTGCTAATTATATACAGAGGCTCTGCTTACCAGTGCTACAAACAATGGTTGTGCTTTATGGCTTCTACTTACAATACCATTCTAAGTTGGCCAATATATTGAAAACAATGCACTCACTCTGCATCTGATATCTTGTATCCATAGTTGTTAAAAGAAAGAGTAACTGCGTGGTGCCACTGACTCTAGGGGCTCATTTACAAATCAATGTTTAAAGCCATAACACAAATGTGGAGAAACAACCTTCTACAAATGTGAAAGTTATATCGAAAAGACTTTTAAGATAAATACTGTAATAATAACGAAAAATATGGGGCAATTTCGCTTCAATGCTGTGCTAAAATAAACAACAAATGCATTGATAATATAGTCATCAGACTGACTAATACATCTTCCCCCCAGCATCCACCCCCTTCCCCTCTCCCAGCCAAAATAATGTGGATTATACTGTCACATTTTAGTTGAGCCATTTGCTGTGTCTCTGGTGTGGGGCTCCAGAATATTAGCTATTTCTTTTGTTGATCTTAGCTTTGGTGTGCAGATATGCGTTCAGCAAAACAATTCTATCTGAGCAGGGTGAAAGTGCAACTAGAGATAGGGGGGTCGTGATCTCAGCTGGCGCATATCCAGCTCACACATTATTACTTTAGGTGAAATGTTGCATGCATGTGCTGTAGTAAAGCTAATGTTGTTTTATAACAGTACAGTTAAAAAATACAGTATAAATTAATCAGTACATATGTGTAGTTGTGATTGGACCTGTGCAGTAAACTAGTGTTATGTCAAATAATAATTGAAACTGAAACTGATGCTCTTCCACCTATTTCAATTAATAATGAATGTTAATCTCTGCTGTCTATAGCAACCAGATTCCTTTTTCTGTTTCAAAGATGAAAGCTGATTGCATCTGTGAAAACTGTTCTAGTTTTTCTTGCTGTGTAACATTTGTTTTATTGTATAGTTTAAAACCCAACTCCGGGCTCCTTGTTCCTCACCCTAGAAGGAGCCCACAGCAGTATGTTATGTGTTATCTCAGTTTTCATTGCGTACCATTTTCTGATGTCTTCTGGCTGGTCACATGACTCACTGGACCCTCAGGGTTTGGGGCTATGACACCCTGCACTTAGGCTTCCTTCAATCTTTGGGGTTGAGTAACGCTGGGTGCCCGGATGACTGAGGACTTCTTTTGGTGAAGAGATACTGCATAGGACTGCTCCAGATTGAAGATGAGATACTTTATTTGTCATTGCATACAAGACACAACGATATTCGATTTATTATCAACCCATTATTAGGCAGCATAAAATTCATATACAGTATTTAAAAAGCCATACCACCCAAAAGCCTTCGTAATTAACTAAAAATCTAATCCCTCCTTAAAAAGAACCCATAAAAACCCTCATAATTCCTCCAGCTTTCCAATGCACGCTGGAAAAAACTATTCCCTAACCAATTTGTGTGCGTCAGTATTTTACGTAATCTATTAGAAGGAAGAGAAACAAACTGAATTCCCAGGGTGAGTACAATCATTCCTGATCTTGAAGGCATGTCTAAAAAGGTGATCCAAATAGACATCCTTCAGATCAGTGAGCGAAGAGTCCAGAATCCATTCAGCTATCCTCACTACACGATGCAAAATCCTCTGATCCGCCCCCTTATAACTTCAGTATCATACAGTACAAAAATACATTAGTATACTTTCAGTGGAACTACGATAAAAAATCACCTTCATCAAGTTCTTTGAGAGTCCAAATTGCTGCAGAATCCTTAGAAAAAAAATGCTTCTGGGCCTTTGTAACCAGAGATGAAATATTTATACTTCAAATACAGTATCTAGCCTTAATTCCCCATGACATAGTTCTTCTAAAATCCACAATAGTTTCTTTTGTTGTCTTACTATTCATCTGGAAAGCATTATTCCTATAGCAAACAACCAGTTTGGAAGCAAGTATCACAACCAAAGCTCCTTTTAAAGCGAAAAAAGCCACCAAGGGGTTATTTAAAGAAGAATTCCAAGAAATTAAAAAAATTAACCTTTGCAGTGGGGCTACCCCCGCAGTGCAAGGGTTAACTGCTTGTTTTGGTCTAGGGGCTAAGTTAGATATACTCACCTGATCCTTTGTCCTGCTTGGGCTGCTAGAGCAGTCCCTGCCTCTAATACAGCTGCATTAGACGTGAGGATGCCAAGGGACATTTCACTGCCAGAGTGGAGAGAAAGAGAGGTGAGCAGTCATGCCGCAGGACTGGGGATCAGGTGAGTATATTTTCTTTTAGTTTATCCACTTGACCAAAATGAGCTGTTAACCTTTGCAGTGCAGAGGTAGCCCCACTACAAGGGTTAATTTTTTTATTTCATGGAGTTCTTATTCAAGAAAAATATTAATTTGGAGTTGGGCTTCAAGGGCTTTCTCACATGTCCATTGAGCTTCTTTATCTGCACACCACATATGTATAGTGTGAACAGGGAACATAGAATCAATTGTTTTCTTTGTGCTGTGTTCACACTATACAAGTGCGTTGGTGTGCAGAAAAATGCACATACTGTGATCAAGAACTTAGTGTTTTAACTTATGATTTTGTGGAATGAATAAATGTGATACTTACTTCATAAATGGGATCCACTGGCTTATGAAAAGCATGTGCCTGTGTTTTACAGTTAATGTTGGTGACTACATTGAGGCTGTGTTGGACAGAAATCTGGCTGAAAACATCTCCCGAGTTCTCTACCCCAATGATAATGTAAGTGTTTTCTGTATAGTGAACATAATCTCTGACAGGCCCATAACATTCAGCGTTAATCTGATTCTCCTTGAACGAACTAATACGAATGCAGAAAATGACATTTGGACTCTATTAATGTGTCCTTGCAGTTCTTTGAAGGCAAGGAGCTGCGGCTGAAGCAAGAGTACTTTGTGGTAGCTGCTACTCTCCAAGATATCATCAGACGATTCAAGTCGTCCAAGTTTGGATGCCGGGATCCAGTGAGAACTTGCTTTGACACTTTCCCCGATAAGGTAAAGTCTGCATTATACAACTTTTATTATGCTGTACGTGTGTCTGTGGTGGAGACATCAAATTGTGAGCTTCTTTCGGACCAAGGACTGCTAGAAATTGTTTAATGTCCTCTGTAAAGGTCTATGGAAACTAAATGTATCAATTTGAACTGAACTTCATTTTGTAGTGGCTAGTAGTCACAATGTACAGACACAATTCATCCAGAGCCAAATATGTGTGCTTTATTATGTGATAAAGGGAATTAATACTAGACTAACCAATATATATGATTCATGAGATTCAGTTTTGCCCTTCTGACCTGCTACTAGTGATTACACAAGCAAATAAAGATTAACTGAAGTCTAGTTATAGCAGCTGATTACAGAAATGATGATACTGGTTTGCGGTCGGAAACATACACTCATGCGTGTAAATGTCACTACCGGTATTCGCACCCATGTGCCTGAGCCTTTACAGTTCTTTGTTTTTAAAGTCTCATTGCTGTGTTTACATTGAACTTCTTTACATCAAGGTGTTTGCAAAAATGGACATGTTTTTACTCATAAAGAAGAACTCCAGACAAAAGAAATCTTAACCCTTGCAGTAGGGTTATCCCGCAGTGCAAGGGTTAAATGCTCTTTTTGTCTTGTCAGCTATAATAACAAAGATATACTCACCCTAACCGTTACCCCAGCTTGCTCTTAGCCCAAAGTTCTTCTTTAATGACAATATACTTCTTAGACAACGATCACTTATACATAGTGCACATATTAGCAGTAGTAGATGATCTTCGGGAATAGTGCAAACCTTGTGACCATAGCTTCTTTCCTTCTTTGGACTATGGCAGAAATAGGTCTCATACACATGGGCATATCTGCCTCGGGCGGAAGATTGCAGGGGGGGGGCGGCAAAAATGTCGTCCCCCCCAAAACATTTAGGCAGACGGGCTGCACAGAAATCGTCTGCCTAATGTGAACGGGGAGGAAGCGGCGGGCTGTGAATCAGGAGGAGACGGGGGACAGAGCAGTAGGAGGCAAGGGGCGGAGATTGAGAAGAACTGTGCAATACCCTTTGGTGGGCTTTGCAGGATCTGTAAGGGGCTCTGCAGCCTGCAAAGCCCACCACAGTTCCTGCACAGCCCCCCTGAGATCCTGCAGACTGCAGGGTCTCTGCAGGATCTGTGGGGGGCTATGCTGGGTCTCAGGGGGGCTTTGCAGGATCTGTGGTGGGCAGAGCCCATTACAGATCCTGCACAGCCCCCTGAGACTGCAGGGCCTCAGGGGGGCTGTGCAGGATCTGTGGGGGTCTCACGAGGGCTGTGCAGGATCTGTGCTGGGCTCTGCCCACCAGAGACCTCGCAGAGCCCACCACAGACCCTGCAGAGACCACAGCTTTCCTGCTACTCTAATGCAGGTAGCAGAACATGTAAAATGCTTGATACAGCGTGTGCACTGTATCCAGCGACTGACAGGTTAAGCAAAAAATATTAAATAGAAAAGGATTGGGTAAATATAGTGGGGGGGGGGGCAAGTTTTGTCTTGCCTAGGGCAGCCACAAACCAGAATACACCACTGATCATACACCACTGTTACAGATATTCCTAGTGGTTCGCGATTAGCAAGGAAACCCTGGTAGTCGTTTCTTTTTCTCTAACAAAACAAGTGAGCATTACCATAGTTCATATTGGTAGACTTTTTTACCTAACACCTATGCCTATTTTTTCCCCTTTTTCTTTTTACCGCCTTCACTGAATCATAGGTCTAGCTCACATCTGCATTAGGCATCCCAGTATATCAGTTACAATTTGAATGCAGTTTCTTTCAGTTTTTTCTTATTATTCTTAGTCTTGTAATAATATAAAATTCACACCGTTCAGAATATGCAATAATTATGTAACAACATTGGGAAGAATAATAGATTTTTGCATCACAACTATCTCAGATTAGAATGTCAAGAGTTGCTATGTTAATGCTTACTCAGACACAGTACATCTGAAGGTCTTCAAGGTGCCCATACACTGAAATAGAGCAGTGTATGGCCACGCTAAAGGTGCCCATACACTGTACGATTATCGTACAATAATCGCGGGAAATCCCGCGATCGTACGATAATCGCAAAGTGTATGGAAGGCGTGCGACCGTTTCTACTGTAGGGTCACACAAAAGTCTTGCGAGGGTTGTAAAGTGTATGGCCACCTTAAGGCTAGTAGGTGAGCACCAGGCCCATTCCCACAGGTGTGCTGCTCCTCAGGTTGTTAATGCGCTCCAAGCCGAGTGAAGAAGCTTTCGGGCAGTTCTGTTAACTCTGTGTAGATGCAGGAGCAGTGCATCCTCACATGCTGCTTTGTGCAGCTCCGGGTTTTTATAGGAGCACACAGATGGTGTAAGGAGCTGAATGCATCATGTCTGTGTCTGAGGTCATACACTGTCTGTGTGTGCCTGTGAAACTCAGCTGCAGAAACGGCGTGTGATGGCGCACAGCTCTTCTGTCTACATAGAGTTAAAAAAGCTGTCCAAATGCTTCCTTCCTCAGCTCCAGGCACATCAACAACCAGCCCTTCATGCTTTACAAAGCAACTAACCTGTGTGAATGGGACCTAAGAGCTCGATAATTTAGTATATTCACAAAGAATCCAGTACTGTTCCCTTTCTAATGCAGTATTTAATTTACAGGTTGCCATTCAGCTAAATGACACCCATCCCGCTCTCGCTATTCCTGAGCTCATGAGGATCTTTGTTGATGTGGAGGGAATGGAGTGGGATAAGGTAAGAACAGTTATTTAAGCTGAACTATACAGTAAAAATACACATACAGTGGATATAAAAAGTCTACACACCCCTGTAGAAATGGCAGGTTTTGAGATGTTAAAAAAAAAAATCAGACCAAGATAAATCACTTCAGATTTTTCCCACCCTTAATGGGACCTATAATCTGTGCAATTTAATTAAAAAACAAACTGAAATCTTCAAAGTGGGACAAAAATATAAAAATTAAAAAAACTTACAATAATGTGGTTGCATAAATATGCACACCCTTAAACTAATACTTTGTGGAAGCACCTTTTGATTTTATGACAGCATTCAGTCTTTCGGGGTAAGAGTCTATCAGCATGGCACATCTTCCCTTGGGAAACTTTGTCCACTCTTCCGTCCAAAGGCACTCAAAATCTGTCAGATCGCCAGGGCATCTCCTGTGCCACCCCACAGATTTTTAATTGGATTCAGGTCCGGGCTCTGGCTGGGCCATTCCAAAACTTTGATCTTCTTCTGGTGCAGCCATTCTTTTGTTGATTTGGAAGTATGCTTTGAGTCATTGTCAAGCTGAAGGGTGAAATTCCTCTTCATCTTCAGCTTTTTAGCAGAAGTCTGAAGGTTTTGTGCCAAAATTGACTGATATTTAGAACTGTTCATAAGTCCCTCCACCTTGACTAAAGGCCCAGTTCCAGCTGAAGAACAACAGCCGCAAAGCATAATGCTGCCACCACCATGCTTTACAGTGGGTATAGTGTTCTTTTGGTGATGTGCAGTTTTGTTGTTGTGTGCGGTAGAGTGGCACGACAGAAGCCTTTTCTTGCTAAGAAAAACACCCAAGCCCGGCTACATTTTGCAAAAATCTTCAGCAAGTCTGACAAAAGCATGTAGGAAAATATGTTATGATCTAATGAACCAAGATTTAATTTTTGGGGCATAATTCCAAAAAGTATGTTTAGTGTAAACACAACACTGTGCATCACTGAAAGAACACCATACCCACAGGGAAGCATGGTGGTGGTCGCTGGCAAAGCAGAAGCATTGTGTAATACTGCCAATAAGGAGCCAGAGATTCAGTATGTTATGGGAAAATATGGCTACCCATCCGTGTACATACATTAATACAACGTATACATCGAAACAATGCTTTATTACATTCTGTTGATGCCATATAAATCCTGTATAGTAAAGATATAACATTCACTTACATTGATTCAATTATTATTCTTCCCTTGCAGTCTGATAGGGAACCTATACGGCATATTATCTGCCCAAGTTATTGTGACAATGATCTGTGTTCTTTCCCCAGGCCTGGGACATTACAAAGAGGACCTGTGCTTACACCAATCACACAGTACTGCCTGAAGCGCTGGAACGCTGGCCAGTTGATATGTTTCAGAAACTGCTACCTCGGCATCTGGAGCTCATCTATGAAATTAACCAGAAACACTTGGATGTAAGGGAATACATTTGTTGCATGCATCAGTTTATGGAGAAGTAATGACGTTATGGAGCACCTGGAGATAGTGAAGATACCATAATTTAGTTTTCTTTTGATTACTGAGCAGCAGAAATGCCGCAATTTAGAAATGAGTTTGCCATTGCATGTGCAGTTAGTGGGAGGGGCCTGTTATATTTGATTGCATTGGGTGTAATGGTAGGTTGAATTCACAACAAACAAAAATGGACAGGCCACATCCTGCTACAAGCCTAGTACTTTCTCTTTAAACAGTACTCCAAAAATGAGGACACGGGTAAATAACTTTTCACATTGATTTAAAGATTACTTTGTTTACAATTAATATTGCAGAAAGCACATTCAATATCTGAATATTGCATGGCTTTTTATAAAAATGAAATGTGGCAATGTCCCCATAGCAGCCAAATGGATTCTTTTTTTTTTTATTATTTCCTTTTTTTTTTAGTTAGTTGGAAAATACATTATGGCATCACTGTCTATTTAGTTTACACTAATGTGTTTTGTAGCATTTATAGCTGAGATCCAGTGTCCCTGCTGACTTGCTCAGCAGTGGATATGACAAAGAAACAAGAACACCTGTCCTTTTCTCTAAGGGGGTTATTCACAAAGCTGCCAAAGGCAGCCGGGTGAATAACGGAGCCAAAGTGAAGTGAGCCGAACGCTGTTTGGCTATTCAATTCAGTCTTGTACAGTGTTGCTAAAATCAGCTGTACATCGGCTGCCTTCGGTCAGCCGAACATGCTCTGCATGTTTGGCTGAGTTGAAGTGCAGAAGGACTTCGACGCAGCCAATCCAACATCTGGATCGGCTGAGCCGAAGCCCCGGCAGCTCACTCGGTGCCGTTTGCCCCTATTCCCATAGTGACCGAACGGCAGTTAGTGAATAGCCAAATGCTGCCGAGCGGCATTCTGCTCGGCTATTCTGCTCGGCACCTCCGAGGTACTGAGCAGAATAGAAAATAAGTGAAAAGATTAAAAAAGTTGAAAAATAACTTTAAAAATGTAAAAAAAAAAATGAAAAATAAATACAAATATTTTAAAGAAAAGAAAAAAAGCTGTCATTTGCGTGGGGATCGGTCAGCTTCGGCCGACCTTTCTCCACGCTTCGGCTGTAACTTCGGCTGGTGTACGGGCTATTGTAAATAGCCCGTACAGCAGCCCTTCGGTTCGACTAAATCAACCGAAGGATCAGCCGAAGCTACGGCTGGATCCTTTGGCTCTTTAGTGAATAACCCCCTAAATGCTTTCATTAGATTTTGAGTCTCTGCAGTCAGAGGCAGTAGTGCCTTAGATGATCTCACACTGCACATTCACAGCTATAAGGCTCAAGGCACAGGAGTGCCTAGGAACAGGAAGTGATCTGCTATTTTTTAGTAGATAACCAAGGCAAAAAGTAGATTTTCAGGGTACTGCTTTGGCACAATTACCAATCCTCTATAGGATAACAAATCTTCACTTTTTAAAGTTTCCAGTCTCCACTATCTACCCTGTTCACTTTACAGTTTTCAAATTTTATTGAATAACCTTTGTGTACATAGCTATAGATGATGGAATTATACACAGCAGATCCTATAATAAAGAATTAGGGAGTATTGTGCTCTAGAATAGTATACATATAATATATACACAAACACACAGAGTATTGCAGGTAGAAATAAGTCGTCACTTGTAATTGTTGTATAGTATGCACTAGTGGACATTTTAATGAAGAGATTGTTTTGGGCTTTCTTTGCATATGCTTGGAATGAGCAGGTTCAGCATAATGTTGCTATACAACACTGAGCCTGTGTATTTTACTGATTATTCGTATGCATAATTTGCAGGAAGTGAGAGCTCTATATCCTAGCGATTTGGATCGGCTGAGGAGGATGTCAATCATTGAAGAAGGAGACTGCAAGAGGATAAACATGGCTCACCTGTGTGTGATTGGCTCTCATGCTGTCAATGGCGTGGCGAGGATCCACTCAGAGATAGTAAAGCATTCAGTGTGAGTACTTGGCAAAATAAACCATTTCTGCATTTAGATTGCTTAAGATTTGTATTGTCACAAAAAAAATCTCCTTTAAAGAAGTCCACTAAAAAGGTTACATTTTTATTTTATACACCAGGGGACAAAAATGTGTATAGCACTTGGTCCCGTTCAGATTGGTAGCCCCATTGTAGAGAAAAACCCCACCTGTTTATTTATGTTAATGCTGGCTGGCCTCACGCCAATCTAAAATATAACCCTAAAATATAGTTGTTCCTGTGGGGGAAGGTGCTAAGGGGGAATCGGTGCTACATGGCTGTGGGCTGCTAGTAAACATACATGGCAGCTGCAGCTCTATTACACAGCACCGACAGCGCTGATCGTTTATTCGTAAAATATCACTGAGCGCTGCTGGGCTGGGATCTGTCTGTCGGGGCTGCTTGTACGTACACAGGCTGGCAGATAGATCACGACCCCACCGCACTGAGTGAGTTTTTATGGATGAACAATCTGTGCTGTTGGGGCCAGTACAGTGTATGACACAGACCTGACAGTGCTGATCATCCATTCAAAAAAGATCACTCAGCGCTGCAGGGCTGTGTAATCCATCTGCCGGGGTTGCTCGTAAATAGACTGGCCGGCAGATAGATCACAGCCCTGCAGTGCAGAGTGAGCTTTTATGAATTTATGATCAGCTCTGTCAGGGCCAGTACAGTGTATAACAGAACCTGGACAGGGAAGTGAGGGGAAAGCTCCTTAATAGGGATACAGCTACAGTAAAATCCTGAAAGAGGTTATAACTTTTCCCCGCTCTTTCATAAAGCTAAAATGTTTTGGGTGGAAGAACACTTTACGGTAAACCTAAAACTGTCACAAACCAAATATTTGATGCATTTGTCAGCCAAATCGCTAAGAATGTATAATAGTACCAGTCTACAGGTCTGCATGATATGCCCAACTCATACAGACCTGGAGATTGAATCATCATAAATAATATAATTCTGGGTGGGCATGCCTGAAAGAGTGTATTTGGTTAAGACCTAGCACTGTAAGGGTTAACTGCTCATTTATGTCTAGGGGTATGATAAAGAGGACTTTTACTTACCTGATCCCTACCCCTCCGGCAGTCGGTGCTCACCTGCCTCCCCTCCTCACCATGCTTATGGACTTTCCCTTGGCATCCTCACATATAATGTAGGGCTGTGAGCCCTGCATTGTACATGATTGTGTTAGCAGGTCTCCAACCGCCTGAGTGAAGTGGGGAAGAGGCTGCAGACACCAATCTTGGAGAGCTAGGCTTTAAAGTGACAACATTTTGTTTCTAAAAATAAGAAGTTAATATCTGCTCTGGTTGCTCATGATTTACAGAAAAGTCACTCCACGGTGCTCAGTAAGAGTTCATTACTGAGCTGCCTGTTCAGTATATCAGCACCTAGTTCTTATATGTCTATATTTCAATATTATTATTTTTTTCAGCTTTAAAGACTTCTTTGATATGGAACCACCGAAATTCCAGAACAAGACAAATGGCATTACTCCAAGGAGGTGGTTAATGCTGTGCAATCCAGGCCTGGCTGATATAATCGCCGAGGTAAAATGCCATTCCACCACCTCCCACTAATGAAGCCAAGGTTACTTTAAATTGAAAAAAAAAACTAAAGGAAGGGATATGGCAAATAAGACGTGCCCCGTCATTGTTTCTTTAACCGCTTTTCATTTTATCACTATTAAATGCACAAAGTGTCCAAATGTTTAACCCCCAAACAGTACAAAAGTATACATGCAAAATGTAACTTCCAATTCGGTGATTTTCTGTTACAATTATTTTATTAGTAATATGTAATGATTTTCACTTGCATTATCCTATATATTGCACAGCCAGACTGTCTATAAATGATGGTGTTTATTAAACCATTTCTAGATGGGAAGTTAGTTCATTTGGTAAAGATGACCCTTAATTTCACCAAAGCATGTGTAAAAATGCTGAGTGTGCATTCTCCAATGGCTCATTCCAGCCAAAAGTGATATTTTAGTCATTGGTAAAGCCTGGTGGGCTACATCAGCCCCTACTTTCCTGTATGTCTTGTATACCCCAACAGCGACACCTCCCTGCCATAATTCTTGACTTTGTTCTTGTCCGCCTGAGAGTTTTTGGGTGTTCCTGCAAGGACTGGATACAATGAAACTCATTGGATAAAGCAAGGCATTGGTTGAGGCATTCACAGGCCTGCTACCTTGTAAAAAATGAAATTTCCCAGAAGTCACCAGTACATTTATGCAGGGTGATTTGCAGAAGATATTCCATAGTAATCTGTAGCAAAGTGTCAGTACTAAGAACTGGAGACACAAGCCTGTCCTGGCAGTCTGAATCTGTAGCTTTGGGAACATGGGTCCTCGCTTCAGTCATCAGAACCTTAATTATTTCTCTTTATCTTTGCAGAAAATTGGGGAAGATTTTGTAACTGACCTGAGCCAACTAAAGAAACTGTTGGATTTTGTGGATGATGAGAGCTTTGTACATGATATTGCTAAAGTCAAGCAGGTAAATGAATGCACATCTTTGGGGAGAGTAACAAAGACCATTGAATACGTACAGTATGCAGATCTTGCTAGAAATAGCACAGTTGTAAGGTCTTCATGTTCATCAGATCTCTGGTGGCTTACAGTAAACTAGGCCAGTGCAATGTGCGATGTAATTGGCGGTTGTGAATCTAAAAGACTTTCTGTTTTATTTTTAGGTTGTTATGCTATCTTACACCTAACCATTAACATCTGTTGTTTTTTATGTTAGGAAAACAAGCTTAAATTTTCAGCTTATTTGGAGAGTGAATACAAAGTAAAAATTAATCCTTCTTCGTTGTTTGATGTACAAGTGAAGAGAATCCATGAATACAAGAGGCAGCTCCTGAACTGTTTACATATCATCACTTTGTACAATCGTAAGTATGGAGCCTGGTAGGTTAGGGTGACCATGCACATGCTGATTATCTGCACTAAAAGATCCCTTTTAACTTTTGTTAATATTTCATTCATATATGAGACTGTCACAGGTCGGCTCAGTAGATTGGGAGGTGAGCGAACAGATACCGGCGTTCGCTCACCTCTCGATCCTGTCACGGCTCTCTGCCGTGACAGGGGTGGGGCTGGAACAACAAAACATATATGTAACTGTTGAATTACTTTCTAGTTATCTCATGCAGGGTCTTTGGTTGTTGAACATGCCTGGATAGCCATATCTGTTGCAGCTCAGTCTGCTTATGGCGAGAAGTAATATATTAGGTGGAAAAATCTGCCAACGCATGGGCAACTTTATTTACATAGATAACCATGAGAAGCTTGTCTAAGGGGGGGCCCTTTTCTAGGGCTTCCCTTTTCATTAAGCCCCAAATCCCACTTAATCTACTTTTCCTGTGCATATATAAGATGCCTTTTTGTTTTCTTAAAGGAGAACTATGGGGCAACCTTTTTTGCCCATAGTTCTCTTCAGGGTCATTGGAGGACATATACTAATATCCTCCAAGGACTTAAAACTCAGCATATAGCAGGCTATTACCTACTATATGCAGGCATTGCAGAGCTGCGCCGCAGCTGTCGAAATCCACCCCGCTGGCTGATTGACAGCTGGCTCTGCCTCTCTAGCGCCCCCCCCGTCATCTGTTCCTTCAGTCAGCACTGGAGAAACGGAGAGGGAAGGGGGGAATCTCGGCGGGGAGCAGTGACTGACAGTCACCTCTCTCAGCAGGGAGAGGAGCAGGAAGTCTGCAATCAGTGGTGTTCACTGACTTCCCGATCAATAGAGCCGACCTGTGACAGCTTCAATGTCGCAAGTCGGTTTGAATTATGGGGATGAGTGTTCTTCACTCACCCCATAATTCTTTTTATTGGGTACAAAGAGCATGGTACAGTAAATAATACACACATATCATAAAGACAAATTAGAGCATGCAAGCTCACTATATAGCATAGCAGTAAAAAAAAAAGAAAAATGGCTTCTTCAACTCTGAACATTTTAGGTCTAAACTTAACAAATAGGATGTTGGGGAATCCAAGGGGTATAGAGGAGTGTGGGGGTATAGATTAATAGGAAAGGGGGGTAACATAGTAGCATAGTGTAGGACTATGTGATGGTATTTATTTCAGAGTTTAAATGCTCAACACTTATTTACATGCTATCTGTTTTCAGGAATCAAGAAAGATCCATCCAAAACATTTGTGCCAAGAACAGTAATGATTGGAGGAAAGGTACAGTATGCAGCCTATCAACTTATGCTGAGCTGATTTACAAAGAGTTGTTCAAAGTGAACTGGAGAAAACACCAAAGCAGTTACCCTGGGGCAGGCAGTAGAGTCCTTTGTTGTAAATGTATCCATCCTGCTTGCAAAAAAGAAAAAAACCATTACAAAACACTTTCTTGCTCTTGCTATTGATAATTGTTAACCTGTGAGTTGGTATTAATACACATCTCTTGCTCTGCAGGCGGCTCCTGGCTATCATATGGCAAAAATGATCATCAAATTAATCACCGCTGTGGGAAATGTTGTCAACAATGATCCTATAGTCGGTGACAGACTTAAAGTCATATACCTGGAGAACTACCGAGTGTCCCTGGCCGAGAAAGGTTAGTTGTCTATTTTATTGCACGAGACTTTGTAAATGGTCTCTGAGAAAATAGAAGCAATTCTATCTCACAAAGTCATTCTTATTGTTGCTTATAGAAGCAAATCAGATCATCCTTCTCATGCTCTCATTTTGGAAGAATAAAGAGGAGGATCTGAGTGTTTGTCATAGAGAGTAAAAATAGTTATTCCTTCTCACCCATTTTAAGAACTTCACACAGATATAAAAACTCAATTTGCTCCAGTTATGTATTAATCATTAAATATATTTGTAAACTAGCTTGTGTAAGTACATAAACAATGTCTTATTTTAGCTTCCTGTAATCCGCTGTAAAGAAGCACTCACACTGGAGAGGGAGGGTCAGGGCAGTATTGCTTTGTACAGAGCTGTAAAAATGCTTATAGAACAGGAGAGCAGAAAGATGACCTAAGCAGTGTAATTCTGCTTATGCATTGCCTAGTCATCGGGCTGGGTGACTGACCAGGCTGTATTGCAGTAACATCCATAGACTTAAATGGGCTTTGCCAATACTATTGGTCTAAGGCCGCATTCAAGTCTATGAGGAGTTGCTGTGCAGAAAGCACAAGACAAGTTTTTTGCAGTGATACTTTAAACTATGCATGAGGCCACTGCCGTTGGAAAGAGGTAAGTAGTAACCTTGGTGGGGAGGTTTTATCTTAGAATAGGTTAAGAGGGAGGCTGGGGAGTTTTTATTTTAACGTGAACCTGTCCTTTAAGTAAACTGGCGGTCAGGCACCTTGCTGTGCTGTTTGACAGGGGCACCTGGATCACGATACTGGCTGAGCTGTTTGCCTAGAATTTAATAAAAGAAGCATATATACTCACTTCTAGTTTTCTCTGAAGATTCTCAGATGAACTTAGAGATGCTAAAAATCTATTAGGTACTTTTATGGTTGACTTAACAGAGAATGCTGAGTCTTGTTTTGTTGTTTTGTCTTTCAGTGATCCCAGCTTCTGACCTGTCTCAGCAGATCTCCACAGCAGGCACAGAGGCCTCCGGCACTGGAAACATGAAGTTCATGCTGAACGGAGCTCTGACCATTGGAACGATGGACGGTGCAAATGTGGAGATGGCAGAAGAGGCCGGAGAGGACAATCTATTTATCTTTGGCATGAGAGTGGACGATGTGGAAGCACTTGACAAGAAAGGGTTTGTATTGTTTTTTTCCCCTTCACTGGCCGCCATGTGTGGACCATTGTCCATAGCGGATCATTACGCTTACTAATCCACCAGAAACATACCCCTGAAGTACCAACACTAGTTATCAGACATGATCTTTATTTCATTCCAAAACATGACTGCTTTCTTTATTTGGTGGTACTGTATATATATTGAAAGACTTACCAAGCCATTTTGTCAGTGTTTAAGGCAAAGACTGAATAGCAGTGTTTGTCTGCTCCCTGAAAAGTACAATATAGAGCTTACCTATTTATATAAAACAGTTTTTTCTATTATGAATAATGCAAAGTATTTGGGTTACATAAAGATGAAAGCTTTGCAAAAATGTGTTTTATTTGCTGGCAGTGCTCAGTCCCCCATAGCAATACTGATATGTAGCTCAACCAGGACAGATCATATACCCTATACCAGTGGTTCTAAACCTTTCTAGGGCTGCGACCCCTTCGTAACATGTGCCAAGTTGTGGTGAACCCCAACAATAAAATTATCCCACCTCATTGTTAAAACGGACAAGACCGGAGAACAGAAGTTCTCCAATCTGCTCCCTGCTCTCCATCCTGAAACAATTTGCTGTGGTCCCGGGTCCCCCAGAAGAGCAGGGGACCCCCGAAAACCAAGACTGGGAGGGAGGCAACTTGACAAGTGATGTAGGTGGCTGTACAGCCACCAAAATCACTTGACCGGCTCCCCATCTGCACATTTAGCCCTGCCTGCCCGAAGCAGGCAAAAAAAACACTTGCTCCTCCCCGGCCACGGCTGCTGCAGCGGCATCTTGCGGAGCGGCGGGGGTGCTGACACTGCTGCGCTAGGAGGAGGCTGAGGAGCCTCTCACCTAATGGAGCAGAAGGTATGTGAAGACCCACTCAAAAGGATTGCGACCTACTTTTGGGTTGCGACCCTCAAGTTGGGAACCACTGCCCTACATCATACCTGACATAAAATACAAACAATATAATTAAAATAATAATAAATCAATATCTAATATCAATTACTTCTGATTTACTCTGCGGCTTGTTTTTAAAATGATAATTCCAATGTGGCTTCCTTGCAAGTATGAAAACAATGGGGCAATTCTGTGCAATATGTTCAGAATACCACCAGCTGGCAACACTAAGGGGGTCCATCTATAAAACAATTCGTAGATCCATTGGGCCTGCAAATCTCTGTAAATCATTCATTCTGTGCTAATAGAGGCAAAAACAAACATTCTTAATATATTTTCTTTTAAGGTCTAGTGTAATGTAATACTGGATTATGGGCATTTGATAGAGATAAGGACCAGAGGACATCGGTATTTATTTCCTATGCTCCTCAGCTCCATTTAGTGGCCATAATGCGGTATTTTCTGAATGTTATATTCTACCTGGAAAGAAAATATACCGTGTTTCCCCAAAAATAAGACACTGTCTTATATTTTTTTTGCCTCAAAAAAACACACTAGGTCTTATTTTCGGGGTGGGTCTTATTTTTTTTTTTTTAATGTACAACAATCCACACTTATTCATGTACAACAGTCTACATGTATTCATGTATAAAAATTTGGTGATCAGGGCAATCAGGGGTGCCGTACCTTTCCAGGAGCAATTTGCTAACCAATCGCTGGCCAGAATGAGCAAAGCGCACTTTCACTATTGATTCCTCACAGGCAGAGTGCATTTGGTATCACTCCGCCTGTGGCAGGAGCCGGCGCTATAGAGGAGGCATCGGCTTATGCGGCTCTGCTCCCTCCACTGTCGCCTTGCTTCCTCTAGCGCTGGCTTCGTTGGCACCGCTGATTCTCTCCTGCCTCTGCCGCGGCTCTTTAAGTTCCCCCTTATGCCACCACCGGCCCTGGGAATGGTCACAACTTATTTTCGGGGTAGGTCTTATATTTTAGCAATTCTCAAAAATAGTACTAGGTCTTATATTCGGGGTAGGTCTTATTTTCAGGGAAACAGGGTACTAAGAATTTTAATTTTTACCTGTATGTGCAAAGAACAAACGTTCAGAGATTCAGGATGAATGGCTCTGTAAATTGTTTATTATTAGACCCCCTAGCAATTTCCCCAAAAGTGGCTTTGTTTTAGCTCAGGAAGTGCACGGTTCAACATCTGCTAGCAGTAGTTGTTCGTTTCAATTCTCTTTTTGTAACCTGCACACATTTGTATTTGTTGACTATGGTTTGTAAATAGAATACAGAAAGGATTCAGAATTGTATCCGTGATGTTTTCCTAATTTTTTTTGTATTCTGGATAGATACAATGCAAAAGAATACTACGATAGAATCCCAGAGCTTCGGGAAGCGATCAGTCAGATCAGAGATGGCCGCTTTTCCCCCACTGAACCAGATCTGTTCAAGGATATCGTCAATATGTTAATGAATCATGACAGGTAAGCCAATTAAGGATCACATAGGTATATTTCAGTAAGTTTATAGCTGAACTCCAAGGAGATATAAAAACAGCATAACTTAATTGTATTCAGAACATAGGTCAGAACATTCAAAACTGATATTTCAGAGTGTAGTTAAACTACCAAATTCTTTATTTTATCTCTCAGGGACTCAATTGATGAGATCTCTGCTCTTGTGTTCTTGGGTCTGCACACCTGACCATTATGATGGGAACTCCCTCTGCCTACTGGGTTTTAAATCATATCCGGGCCCAACACCAAGAAATGTATTGCAACTGACCAGTCCTTAGATGTAGTGGCTAGATTAGTTTTCTTTTTCCAGTCATTTTTCCTTTATTTTTACCTGGTGATTCTGCCAGTAACACACTTCCTGTGCAAGGGTGAGATTGGGGGGAACTCTGATACCCCAGGTGGACAGAAACAGAATTGAGAATTATCCCAGGGAGATCTTGTTGCTGAAGTATCCAAGACATATAGGAAATAGGGAAATTAGATATAATTTCCCAACTCCTGTTCACCTGGGATTTTGTGACTGTTCACACCCACCTTCGTGTGTTTCAGCTTTTTCTGTTACATTCTTTGTAATATAAAAAAAATAAGTAAACTCAACAGGGAGAGTGGGAACCATATGTAATGCAAGTGTCCAGACCCAGGAACTCAAGGATAGCGATCCCACCAATAGAGTGCCAGTTGTTTTAACACTATGGGACTGAAGTATAACTCTTCTGGCCTGCGTATAGCTGGGTGGATGCCATTCACACGGCACCATTGACACTAGATGATGCTTAAGGTGCCCATACACCTTACGACCATCGCAAGACTTTTGTCTTGCGATGGTCGTATGCTTATTGAAAGCTCGTACGATCTGCCCACCTTGGACGGGCAGATCGTACTTGCGATCATCGAAAGCCCGCCCCGCTGAGGGGCGGGCTTCCGATGACCGCAATGCAGAACGGGCAGTGTGCGCGTGCGCACACCGGCCCATTCCGCAGCTATCGGACGAGCAGGCTAGAAACCCGCCGACAATCGTACGATTCTCGGCGGGTTTTCGAGCATGTTGGTTCAACAAAAGACGTGCGACCGTACAGTAGAAACGGTCGCACGTCTTCGTTCACACTGCTCGATTCTCGTACGATCGCGGGATTTCGCCCGATTCTCGTACGAGAATCGAGCAGTGTATGGGCACCTACAGACGTGTAGGAAATTGATATGCTCCTCACCACCATCTAGTGGCTGTAGTTCCAGTCGTACTGCATGCAACCAGCTATACGCTGGCCGTAAGAGTTATACATCAGCCTCCATGTGATGGATTGTGGAATATTTGTCTACAGATTTCCAAGGAAATATAAGCATTTATACTTCTAGGGTGTTACATAGTTATCTTTACTGAATTAAAGATATAAACGGTGCCAGTGCTAATTCCTTGACTATATGAGGACCTATTGCCGGAGCTGGTGACCAGCTATCTCCACTCCTTCACTCTTATACTTTGCTTTTCCTAATTTTGCCTTTCCATTCCATCTCTCTCTCCCCATCTCTCCTTCCCCTTATTTGCTACTCCTCTCATTCTTCCTCCTACGATGTACCCCTCCCTAAGAACCAGATAACTCAGGCTATTTTTCTGTGACCTTGACTCGAAGTTTGATTTTACTGATATTGAGACCTTAAGGTTTCTTTGAACTTTTTCTGTACTAATGTTATCATTATAATTTTATTTTATTATGCATAATACATGTGTTGTATTCTGAGACTGACACTTGAAGTGTGTGCAAACATACTTGTCTATGTGTCTAAAAATTTATAACATTTAATAAAAACCTTTTTGAACGAAAAAAAGATATAAACGGTGCCAGAGAGCTATACATAGGGTAATGAAACTGTACAGAGAAAATTGCATATTTAGTACATACATACAATATAGTACACATGCAGTGAACTAAAAATGATCTACACCCTGCTAGCAAAATTAAGAATTCATCAATTTGTGGTTTAAGGTCCAGCCTTGTCCATCTCTTCCCTTGGGATTCAGCTGTGATCTCCTCCCATTCAGCACCTTATTTCTGTAAATACCTATTTATGCATTCTACTTTTTTAGGTTCAAGGTGTTTGCAGATTATGAAGCTTACATGAAAAGCCAAGCGAAAGTGGACCAATTATACATGGTAAGTCAGCAGCATTTAGTTACCCCGCTGTGTATCTGTATTGAATATTTCCTTCTCTTAACATGTTGATATCTCCTTTGCAGAATCTCAGGGAATGGACCAAGAAAGTCATCAAGAACATTGCTTGCTCTGGCAAGTTCTCCAGTGATAGAACAATAAGTGAATATGCCACTGAAATCTGGGGGGTGGAACCATCCGCTGTGAAGATTCCTCCACCCAACATACCCAGGGAATAGATATATGGAGGTGCATGTGCTCACTGTTCTCCGCTGGTAGTTTGGTTGGCTCAGGATTAGTGTTTGTTCACCAGTTGTGATTGCTTTTCCCATCAGAGCTTAGCCTTGCTATTGGGAAAACATCCTGATTGCATTATTCAACACTGACTCTCTGCAGTTGTGCTGCTCACAATATTTGGGTTTGATCTACATTCTGGGCCTGGCTATGTAACTAGGCCAGTGGCAAGACAGTACTGAGGTCATCTACTGAAGTCATAGGCAGTGCTTCCATAATATGTTAACTAAGGAAGCAAGGGCAGTCTCTGCAGTTTCTTTCATAGAGAACACAACCCATATTCATGTTAGGTCATACAGGATTGAACCACTTGCAGTCCACTGAATAATAATTAACCATAGCCAGTAATTGTGCTCATTCTGTACACTGTTTTATAACTTGTTTCTTTTTTTTGTCCTGTATGAACAAATAGGAAACACACGTGAGATGGTTCTTCTGCATTTCACATTGACTCCATGTAGTACAGCTGTATCATAATGTTTTAGTCAAATAGCACTAATAGTTTTATTTTATTCAGTTTTTAGCTTATGAACATCTTTAGGCTTTTATCAGTGAGGGAATGTAGAGAGTCGAGGCATTGTGCAGAATGCAGTGACCCATGAATCCAATCACATTGCAGTCTGCTTTAGTCCCATTATACGTCATTTCTGATATGTTGCTAGTGATTACTGCACTGTTGCCCATCATCGCTACTCTTTGCACTACTTTATTGAATAAGCCTGCGTGTCAGAAAAAGCATAAGTGACAATGGGGACATTTTGGTCATACAAGGCTTATTCACAAAGGGCATTTTCCCCATGCAGAGTAGATATGTGACCTTAAATGGTAAGGAATAAAGTACCCTCTAAGGAAAGAATGGTGCATAGAGTATGTGTTGCCTTGACATAAGCCATTAGGAAAGGCTCATTTAGAGTGTCTTATAAAGTTTTAAATACTGTAATAAAAGCAATCTAGTAGCTGCAAAATAGTGACACAGAGCAAACACTTTCCAACACTGCGGTGGACCATCTGTAGGAATGTGGCCGTCATATCCTTGCTCTCCGCACAACCTGGTGAAGGGAACATCGAGCAAGCTTGGCGTGAAACTTTGTAAATCATGTGTTTGTCTTTGCAAAGATGCCGTCGCTTTAGCATTTGTGTGTGTGTTATTCCAAAGTACTGTATTTCTAACTAAAGGTTTGCACGTTATAACTCCACCTTCGTGTTTGTGGGTCTTATTCCTTTAATAAAACTACTATCTACTCTCACAGACGATTGAATAGAAGTTTTTATAAGTACAGCACTGAAGTGTTGATGTAACACTGGTCATTGAGCCTTTATGGAGTTGGTCCATCTGCAGTTTTAGTTTTATTAGATGCAGGTGAGTAAATTGAGAGCAGACAAATATGTTGCCTGCCTCTACCTTTATTAACTAGAGAAACCTCACTATTTTCACATTGTTACAGGGACACAATTTTAGGCATTGACAGCCACCATTGCAAGGTTTGCACTGTTGTCTATATCTCAGGTGGGGAGAGCTCCCTCTCATCTCATATCCTCATGATGTAACTGGAATTGGGAGGAAGTTCCCCCAATAGAGAATCAGACTGCAATGCAGACAGTTGTTTTGGTAGAGTTTGGAAGGGTTTACACTGCTGTCTTTGCTTTGTAGGGAGATTCCCCTCAATGGTGACATAGAAAATGTCTCTGGTGTAGACACTAGAAGAATATCCAAATTGGCATTCTAATAATTAGAAAAATAAAAAGATAACTCTAATGAAATGCTAAAACCAAAAAAAAAGGGGTAGAGATCCATCATAACATGGTACTGATATAAAAAGCCTTCCGTATCAAAGAGAAAACCCAGAGCCTCGGTGTTGGGTATAAAATAAAGGCAGGGATCTAATTGGCTGCAATTAGCAATACTTTCACATTTTATATTCTACAATTTTTTATTTTTCGAGGTCTAATATTAATGTTATACTCACAAACCGCATAACTTGGTTGCTACATTTAAAGTACACCTACCATGAGGGCTGCTATTGCTAGGCTCCTTCTAATGCTAGTAGCCTGGCACTCCTTGACTTTAATATTTATGAGTCACAGACCTGGAATCGACATTTAGCAAATAAATACATAGTGAGAGCCTTATCTCTGCATTCTTGTAAAGGGGGGATCAGTGACTAAAACTAATGAAGCCAGAGCATCAGCATGACAGCTAAGCAGTTGCCATTGTCAGAAGGAGGTCACCAAGGGGAACCTACAAACCCCCCTTTTAGGACAGGTTTAGGCTGAACTCCAGGCAGATACTGTATTACAAAAACAAAGGTAGTTATGTATTTATAAAATGTAAAAAAAACATGAAATGTGTTTTAAATGCAAATAGCAGTAAACCATCAATTTGGCTTGATGTGAGCTTCTTCTAAGCCCCTATACCGCTGCACTTAGACTGGGAGAGGGGGGTAGGCCTTTCAAGTGTACCTGAATTCACATGTGCTAATGAGAAAAATGCTGACAAGAGGAAAGAGATGTCCAATCAAAGACTGGGGGCAGGGAGGTGACCAGACTGTGGTGCTTAACTTCAGCAGAGAAAACTCACTACGCTGAGTGTGCTGTGAGACAGAGCTGTGTAAATCTCGGGACTAGATGGATAGAAATACAAATCCTTGTTAGGTAAGACAGCTCCCATGTATGTATTGGAATTTTTGCCTTGACTTCAGTTTTAATTATACTAGTTTGGCCAGGTAAAGTAATGAGGAGAACTCGCTGTATTCTTTCACATGTTAATCCTATTACAGGCCACACTGCTCAGTGGAACAAGTAAAACAGCCAATAAATTCACTTAGTTTTCTGGTCTCAAATCTGCCGCCTTAAACATGAGAGCTCTAAATATTTGGACATTTTTGGTATTGATGCTATCCACAAATCACAGAGAACACAGAGCACAGATGGATTACAACTGGTCATGCTAGAACCATAACTGGCATATAACATAACCCAGCTGACAAGGCTGCCTCCACTATGCCAAAGCTCTTTTCCCCACATGTGGAAATTGATCTAAGGGTTACCTTAATGCCATTTGCTTAGTATCAGCATATTGAGTGTCCTACCACAGTCATACACAGGGCTGGATAGCCATAACAGGACCCTGTAGGCACACAGCTATTGGCACCTAAAGTGATAGATCTCCCTTTGGCACAAAACATTTTCTTTCCAAACTGCCAAACATCATAGCTAACCCCTGATTAATGCCTCATATCCCACACTCGGTGCTCGAATGACCCCCTTTCCAGAGGTAGACCCTATAAAATAAAAAAGATTGCCAGCACTCAATAATTCTCCAAAAGTTACTTTATTCTTCATGCATCAATAAATTAAGTGACCGCTAACGCGTTTCTGCCTGCAATGGCCTTAATCAAAGCCCATGACTAAGGCCGTTTAACGCAGAAACACGATTGCGGCTGCTTAGAGTATTGATGCGTGAAGACTTTTTTGGAGAAACACCAATTGCCAGCAATCTTTTCTATTTTACAGAACTTTTTCTTTTGTTACAGAACCTAGCTTGCCTGAGAATATTGTGACAATACATAATAAACTTATATAAGATTACTGTATTTCTACTGGTGATGGAAAAAATGTCTAGGAAAAAGCTGCCTCTTTGCTTCTGCTGCCTATATAGGCCTAATGGTAAATCTGGCCCGGGTCATACACATGCCATTGAGCCAGTTAAGATAAACATCCTGATGTTTGTATGCTATCCCTCTTTGCAGTTTACACTGGTTCGCGAGGTTTCACTACTTAAATTTGCAGGTTCACCTTCTAGTTACCTTGGCACTTTGCCTGTCCTCTGATGCTGTATACATTTATATCGTGGAACGTTCGGGCCTTGAACTCCAGCCTCAAACGCTCCCTAGTATTCGATTTCACGACAATCGTACGATTCTCGGCGGGTTTTCGAGCATGTTGGTTCAACAAAAGACGTGCGACCGTACAGTAGAAACGGTCGCACGTCTTCGTTCACACTGCTCGATTCTCGTACGATCGCGGGATTTCGCCCGATTCTCGTACGAGAATCGAGCAGTGTATGGGCACCTACAGACGTGTAGGAAATTGATATGCTCCTCACCACCATCTAGTGGCTGTAGTTCCAGTCGTACTGCATGCAACCAGCTATACGCTGGCCGTAAGAGTTATACATCAGCCTCCATGTGATGGATTGTGGAATATTTGTCTACAGATTTCCAAGGAAATATAAGCATTTATACTTCTAGGGTGTTACATAGTTATCTTTACTGAATTAAAGATATAAACGGTGCCAGTGCTAATTCCTTGACTATATGAGGACCTATTGCCGGAGCTGGTGACCAGCTATCTCCACTCCTTCACTCTTATACTTTGCTTTTCCTAATTTTGCCTTTCCATTCCATCTCTCTCTCCCCATCTCTCCTTCCCCTTATTTGCTACTCCTCTCATTCTTCCTCCTACGATGTACCCCTCCCTAAGAACCAGATAACTCAGGCTATTTTTCTGTGACCTTGACTCGAAGTTTGATTTTACTGATATTGAGACCTTAAGGTTTCTTTGAACTTTTTCTGTACTAATGTTATCATTATAATTTTATTTTATTATGCATAATACATGTGTTGTATTCTGAGACTGACACTTGAAGTGTGTGCAAACATACTTGTCTATGTGTCTAAAAATTTATAACATTTAATAAAAACCTTTTTGAACGAAAAAAAGATATAAACGGTGCCAGAGAGCTATACATAGGGTAATGAAACTGTACAGAGAAAATTGCATATTTAGTACATACATACAATATAGTACACATGCAGTGAACTAAAAATGATCTACACCCTGCTAGCAAAATTAAGAATTCATCAATTTGTGGTTTAAGGTCCAGCCTTGTCCATCTCTTCCCTTGGGATTCAGCTGTGATCTCCTCCCATTCAGCACCTTATTTCTGTAAATACCTATTTATGCATTCTACTTTTTTAGGTTCAAGGTGTTTGCAGATTATGAAGCTTACATGAAAAGCCAAGCGAAAGTGGACCAATTATACATGGTAAGTCAGCAGCATTTAGTTACCCCGCTGTGTATCTGTATTGAATATTTCCTTCTCTTAACATGTTGATATCTCCTTTGCAGAATCTCAGGGAATGGACCAAGAAAGTCATCAAGAACATTGCTTGCTCTGGCAAGTTCTCCAGTGATAGAACAATAAGTGAATATGCCACTGAAATCTGGGGGGTGGAACCATCCGCTGTGAAGATTCCTCCACCCAACATACCCAGGGAATAGATATATGGAGGTGCATGTGCTCACTGTTCTCCGCTGGTAGTTTGGTTGGCTCAGGATTAGTGTTTGTTCACCAGTTGTGATTGCTTTTCCCATCAGAGCTTAGCCTTGCTATTGGGAAAACATCCTGATTGCATTATTCAACACTGACTCTCTGCAGTTGTGCTGCTCACAATATTTGGGTTTGATCTACATTCTGGGCCTGGCTATGTAACTAGGCCAGTGGCAAGACAGTACTGAGGTCATCTACTGAAGTCATAGGCAGTGCTTCCATAATATGTTAACTAAGGAAGCAAGGGCAGTCTCTGCAGTTTCTTTCATAGAGAACACAACCCATATTCATGTTAGGTCATACAGGATTGAACCACTTGCAGTCCACTGAATAATAATTAACCATAGCCAGTAATTGTGCTCATTCTGTACACTGTTTTATAACTTGTTTCTTTTTTTTGTCCTGTATGAACAAATAGGAAACACACGTGAGATGGTTCTTCTGCATTTCACATTGACTCCATGTAGTACAGCTGTATCATAATGTTTTAGTCAAATAGCACTAATAGTTTTATTTTATTCAGTTTTTAGCTTATGAACATCTTTAGGCTTTTATCAGTGAGGGAATGTAGAGAGTCGAGGCATTGTGCAGAATGCAGTGACCCATGAATCCAATCACATTGCAGTCTGCTTTAGTCCCATTATACGTCATTTCTGATATGTTGCTAGTGATTACTGCACTGTTGCCCATCATCGCTACTCTTTGCACTACTTTATTGAATAAGCCTGCGTGTCAGAAAAAGCATAAGTGACAATGGGGACATTTTGGTCATACAAGGCTTATTCACAAAGGGCATTTTCCCCATGCAGAGTAGATATGTGACCTTAAATGGTAAGGAATAAAGTACCCTCTAAGGAAAGAATGGTGCATAGAGTATGTGTTGCCTTGACATAAGCCATTAGGAAAGGCTCATTTAGAGTGTCTTATAAAGTTTTAAATACTGTAATAAAAGCAATCTAGTAGCTGCAAAATAGTGACACAGAGCAAACACTTTCCAACACTGCGGTGGACCATCTGTAGGAATGTGGCCGTCATATCCTTGCTCTCCGCACAACCTGGTGAAGGGAACATCGAGCAAGCTTGGCGTGAAACTTTGTAAATCATGTGTTTGTCTTTGCAAAGATGCCGTCGCTTTAGCATTTGTGTGTGTGTTATTCCAAAGTACTGTATTTCTAACTAAAGGTTTGCACGTTATAACTCCACCTTCGTGTTTGTGGGTCTTATTCCTTTAATAAAACTACTATCTACTCTCACAGACGATTGAATAGAAGTTTTTATAAGTACAGCACTGAAGTGTTGATGTAACACTGGTCATTGAGCCTTTATGGAGTTGGTCCATCTGCAGTTTTAGTTTTATTAGATGCAGGTGAGTAAATTGAGAGCAGACAAATATGTTGCCTGCCTCTACCTTTATTAACTAGAGAAACCTCACTATTTTCACATTGTTACAGGGACACAATTTTAGGCATTGACAGCCACCATTGCAAGGTTTGCACTGTTGTCTATATCTCAGGTGGGGAGAGCTCCCTCTCATCTCATATCCTCATGATGTAACTGGAATTGGGAGGAAGTTCCCCCAATAGAGAATCAGACTGCAATGCAGACAGTTGTTTTGGTAGAGTTTGGAAGGGTTTACACTGCTGTCTTTGCTTTGTAGGGAGATTCCCCTCAATGGTGACATAGAAAATGTCTCTGGTGTAGACACTAGAAGAATATCCAAATTGGCATTCTAATAATTAGAAAAATAAAAAGATAACTCTAATGAAATGCTAAAACCAAAAAAAAAGGGGTAGAGATCCATCATAACATGGTACTGATATAAAAAGCCTTCCGTATCAAAGAGAAAACCCAGAGCCTCGGTGTTGGGTATAAAATAAAGGCAGGGATCTAATTGGCTGCAATTAGCAATACTTTCACATTTTATATTCTACAATTTTTTATTTTTCGAGGTCTAATATTAATGTTATACTCACAAACCGCATAACTTGGTTGCTACATTTAAAGTACACCTACCATGAGGGCTGCTATTGCTAGGCTCCTTCTAATGCTAGTAGCCTGGCACTCCTTGACTTTAATATTTATGAGTCACAGACCTGGAATCGACATTTAGCAAATAAATACATAGTGAGAGCCTTATCTCTGCATTCTTGTAAAGGGGGGATCAGTGACTAAAACTAATGAAGCCAGAGCATCAGCATGACAGCTAAGCAGTTGCCATTGTCAGAAGGAGGTCACCAAGGGGAACCTACAAACCCCCCTTTTAGGACAGGTTTAGGCTGAACTCCAGGCAGATACTGTATTACAAAAACAAAGGTAGTTATGTATTTATAAAATGTAAAAAAAACATGAAATGTGTTTTAAATGCAAATAGCAGTAAACCATCAATTTGGCTTGATGTGAGCTTCTTCTAAGCCCCTATACCGCTGCACTTAGACTGGGAGAGGGGGGTAGGCCTTTCAAGTGTACCTGAATTCACATGTGCTAATGAGAAAAATGCTGACAAGAGGAAAGAGATGTCCAATCAAAGACTGGGGGCAGGGAGGTGACCAGACTGTGGTGCTTAACTTCAGCAGAGAAAACTCACTACGCTGAGTGTGCTGTGAGACAGAGCTGTGTAAATCTCGGGACTAGATGGATAGAAATACAAATCCTTGTTAGGTAAGACAGCTCCCATGTATGTATTGGAATTTTTGCCTTGACTTCAGTTTTAATTATACTAGTTTGGCCAGGTAAAGTAATGAGGAGAACTCGCTGTATTCTTTCACATGTTAATCCTATTACAGGCCACACTGCTCAGTGGAACAAGTAAAACAGCCAATAAATTCACTTAGTTTTCTGGTCTCAAATCTGCCGCCTTAAACATGAGAGCTCTAAATATTTGGACATTTTTGGTATTGATGCTATCCACAAATCACAGAGAACACAGAGCACAGATGGATTACAACTGGTCATGCTAGAACCATAACTGGCATATAACATAACCCAGCTGACAAGGCTGCCTCCACTATGCCAAAGCTCTTTTCCCCACATGTGGAAATTGATCTAAGGGTTACCTTAATGCCATTTGCTTAGTATCAGCATATTGAGTGTCCTACCACAGTCATACACAGGGCTGGATAGCCATAACAGGACCCTGTAGGCACACAGCTATTGGCACCTAAAGTGATAGATCTCCCTTTGGCACAAAACATTTTCTTTCCAAACTGCCAAACATCATAGCTAACCCCTGATTAATGCCTCATATCCCACACTCGGTGCTCGAATGACCCCCTTTCCAGAGGTAGACCCTATAAAATAAAAAAGATTGCCAGCACTCAATAATTCTCCAAAAGTTACTTTATTCTTCATGCATCAATAAATTAAGTGACCGCTAACGCGTTTCTGCCTGCAATGGCCTTAATCAAAGCCCATGACTAAGGCCGTTTAACGCAGAAACACGATTGCGGCTGCTTAGAGTATTGATGCGTGAAGACTTTTTTGGAGAAACACCAATTGCCAGCAATCTTTTCTATTTTACAGAACTTTTTCTTTTGTTACAGAACCTAGCTTGCCTGAGAATATTGTGACAATACATAATAAACTTATATAAGATTACTGTATTTCTACTGGTGATGGAAAAAATGTCTAGGAAAAAGCTGCCTCTTTGCTTCTGCTGCCTATATAGGCCTAATGGTAAATCTGGCCCGGGTCATACACATGCCATTGAGCCAGTTAAGATAAACATCCTGATGTTTGTATGCTATCCCTCTTTGCAGTTTACACTGGTTCGCGAGGTTTCACTACTTAAATTTGCAGGTTCACCTTCTAGTTACCTTGGCACTTTGCCTGTCCTCTGATGCTGTATACATTTATATCGTGGAACGTTCGGGCCTTGAACTCCAGCCTCAAACGCTCCCTAGTATTCGATTTCCTCTTTAAACTTAAGCCACATGTAGTATGTCTGCAAGAGACCCACCTGCTGGGGTCTAAAGTACTGGCACTGAAAAAACACTGGGTCGCCAAATCCTTCAATGCTGTATACTCGTCATATTCACGTGGGGTGTCTATTCTACTGGCTAAATCGCTTAATGCTGATGTTCTTCAGGTTAAAACTGACCCCTTTGGTAGATTTGTTATCATTCACATGACCATAGATGGGACTCCCCTGACGTTGGCCTCTGTTTATCTCCCTCCCCCCCCAATGGTGGACATTCTCCACACTGTCACTAATGCTGCCTTGACCATGCCTACTGCTCCCTTAATGATCATGGGTGACTTTAACATGGCCCCTAATCCCCTACTGGACTGCATGGGAGGCGGGGGGCGACTCAATACTAGTTTCACAGACTAGATCCAGGGAATTGGGATTCTTGATGTGTGGCGATGGAAGTGGCCGGACACTAAGGCCTACTCATGCCATTCTGCTACACATAGGACGCTTTCCAGGATTGACTTGGCATTTGTGACCCCTACAATTCTGCCATGGCTCTTGGGTGTGCGCTTTCTCCCTAGGGGGATCTCGGATCATGCTCCCTTGTTAGTGGAGCTCAGTTGGGGGCATTCCTTCTCTTCCAGAGTGTGGAGAATGAACTCCCATTTGCTGACTGATCCCTCTGTGGAGAGTGCTTGCTCGCAGGCTATTGGCTACTACTGGAGTGACAATGCCCCTGTGACTTCCTCTTCCCTTAAATAGGAAGCCCATAAACCCATGCTTAGAGGAGCGTTCATGGCCGCTACAGGGGCAGTCCGTAAACTTAAGGGAGAGGTAGCTCTAGCATTAGAGTGTGATATGGGAGAGGCTGAGGCCACCTACGTCCTAGACCCTACTCCATCAACTTACAGTGATTGGATGGAGAAAAAACGTAAATATGAATTGTTCCTGCTGGAACAAAATAAAAAGAAAATGCTACACACTTAGCAAAAAATATTTGAGTTTGGGAGCAAGGCGGGTAGATTGTTGGCATACTTTACTAAACCTGACTTCAACCCTACCTCTATTCCACGCATTGTTTCCTCCTCAGGGTCCGTGGTCACTGAAACCCAGGACATTATGGAAGCATTCCTGTCCTTCTATAGAGATTTATACTCATCCAGAGTTGGGGGACTATCTGTCTCAGATCTCCCTCCCCTGCCTATCCCCTCAAGCTATAGAGGAACTGGACCAGCCGCTCACTACAAATGAGATTGAGTTGGCGGTTGCCCAGTTCCCCAATTGGAAGACCCCAGGGCTTGACGGGTTCCCTGTAGAATGGTACGCCTCCTATATGGAAGAAATGGGACCACATTTACTGGCCACTTATAATGAGGCATTTAGTCTGGGTATACTCCCACCATCCATGAGAGAAGCTCTTATAGTCCTGATTCTAAAACCGGGTAAGGACCCGACTAGATGTGATTCATACCGGACCATTTCTTTAATTAACGTTGACGCTAAAATCCTATCCAAAATTCTAGCAATACACATTAATAAACACGTTCTGTCCCTTATTGGCAGCGATCAGGCGGGATTTATGCCGGGCCGCTCCACCAGGATGAACATCCGTAGACTTTTCACCAACCTCCAATACTCTCACCCCACGACTGAAGGTAGAGCATTGATTTCACTTGATACCCAAAAATCCTTTGACAGTGTTGAGTGGCCATATCTACTAAGACTACTGAAAGCTTATGGGTTATGGCTCCCACATGATCCACTGGATAGAGATTCTGTATAACACCCCAATGGCCAGATTGCGCATCAACAGAGAAGTGTCTGACCCGTTTAGTATCTTTCGGGGTACAAGGCAGGGTTGTCCCCTCTCCCCTATCCTCTTTGCCTTGGCAATTGAGCCTCTGGCGATTAGGATACGGGAGTCTGCCTTTATACATGGCTTGAGGATACGTGACCTGGAGGAACGAATCTCTTTATATGCTGATGATACGCTAATTTATCTGTCTGATCAGAATGGCTCCCTATGTCATCTCCTCCAGCTACTGGACATATTTGGAACTTTCTCTGGATTCAAGGTTAACTGGGACAAGCAGTTTTTTTTCCCCCTCGATGATGCTACAGTGGCGAATATTCACCCTATGTCCACGCTACGGGCTGTGAATGAATTTAAGTATCTGGGTGTTAGGGTTCAGTTGCCCCTTTCCTTCTATATTGCTAATAATCTGACCCCGACTATTGACTCTCTTCATTTGAAGACTAAACAGTGAATGGACTTACCACTGGACCTTATGGGCAGAGTCAATATCATTAAGATGAACTTCCTCCCCAAGTTACTGTATATCC